AATCATTCAGGAGCAAGAAAACAAAAAAGACCTCTGAAACACTTGCTACCCACTGCTCCCCGATCCTCGTTGCTGGGTTAGTTTGTTTATTTTGGAAAAGCACTAATGCAGTAAGGACTGCTGACAAACCAAAAAGATGCTTTAAAAGATTAAGGTGAAGAGACTGCAGCTGAAATAAAGATTTCAGAATATATGCTTATTGGAAGTTAAGTATTTTGCCCACATGATGCTTGGAGTACTGCCTGATCTCTCAGTATTAATAGCCCTTTGCACAGAACATTCCTTGCTATCTTCAAAAAATAAACTAATACCTTCTCATCTCAAGGTCAGTGGAAAACAAGGATAGCAAGACACTGATTTGATGAACACGCAAATATGTGATTTTTTTAAATGAATAGGTAACTGATGTCATCTTTTAAAGTTGACAGCTTGATACTAATCAGAACTCTCCCTCATCATTCATGGTAAATAAGCAGAATGACACATCAAATTTAACAATCCAGAGCCATAACTTTTCATCAGAAGTCTGTTCAACACACCAACACAACCATTACATCTAGATGTGCTGCCAAATGTCAAAGGAGGAAAGTAAGAAAGTAATTTTGCCTTTTTACACATGGTTAATCTAAATCTCTAAATTGGAAGTTGCCATGAAAATTACTCTGAGAGTATCTAATTGAAAACATTTTTAATTTCAACTCTTTAAAAAAAAAAAAAAGCCACAGCTGCAACAAAGTATGGTAATATTAATGAAAGCATATCTGGCACTCATTCAAATCTCTGCCTTCCTCAGTGCTGTGAAAAGAAAAATCACTCCCCAATGGAAATTCACCATTTTCACAGAAGTAAAATTACTCTTCTCTGTAAAAATGAGCTTTCATCATTTGCATTAAATGTAATTAAATAATGTAATTAAATTGTTGCAGTAACTAGTGTATCTCTGCATGCTATTTGGCTCCAGGAATGCTCAGTACATATTTGAAATCCAGATTGAAAAGAACTGTATTCATAGCAGAATTCTGCAATGTCAAATAAGGCTAACATGTTTGTTTAGGTTTTAAACAAATTTCACAAAGTAAGAGGAGTAGAGATACATGAAAACAAGTAAACAGATGTAATTGTGACATATTACAGAATGGGAAGCAAAATATTTAAAAATGTTTAAACAAACAGGTAGCAATATGTCCTTATGAAGGACACTGAATCAAAAATAAATCACAACATAAGAAAGAGAAGACAAAACAATCTGTAAGTGATCTCTCCTACAAAGAGGGATAAAATTTCTTCTAGTGAATCAATGCCTTTGTTGATTTTTAGACAGAATTTAAACTTAATAGCAATACAAAATGTTGTTACTGATTCTTTCTTTGCTATATATAATGATGAAATAGCGATTAAGATGTGTTTGGTACTGCAAGAGAGAGAGGCCTTATTTGTAATAGCAATAACTAGAGCCAAACATCATGGAAGTCAATGGAAGGATACCTATTGCTTGAAATGGCAGGCAGGTAATTTAGAGCCCAACCTACAAGTGTACCTACCTGGTCTACAGATGCTGACAGGCAAGCACTGTGTTACCACTGGTACTACTCCAGTTCAAACTAACCCCTTACGGAGTGGAGTGCCAAGGATGCTTTATCCTGAGTTGGTCTGTTCAACTTTAATTCATGCCAGTTTCCACAGATATCTTTTATTGGTTAATTAGGCATTATGCCAACAACCAAAGGGTTTAAAAAAGATACATGTGAGTCATTTGCAAGCTACAGTATCTGAAAACTTCTACCTGTAGGTGAAATATGGGCAGGAACTGAGAAGAAAGTTTTTGTCTGGAGAATTGTGCATGGTGCATTCTGCAGTCGCTTCCTCGCTGGAAGGGCACCCATCTCCTTAAAGTCTCACAGCACCCAGAAGAATTGCTAGTAACACTTGGAAGGGAACAGAAACACCCTTTTATCCTATCAATGTGTCACTTCTGTGCCTTGAGGTTATTTAAGAAAAAATTACAGTGATTCTGGCAACTTTCCTCCTTACTGTGTGGAGGCATACTTTCAGCAGAGTTATTTTGTTAGTTATTAGACTATCAAAAAAGAAACTCAAAAAAGCCCTGCACCTATTCAGTTTCACCCTGAATGAAACCATCTTCAATCCTGAGCAAGTGTAGGAAAGCCATGTCTGTACATGTGGAAGGAAGCCACGTTCTCTTAGTGAGCTGCCCCAACCAAGCTCACTCACAGTCCTTAATTAACACCCCTCCATCCTATTGCATCTCAGATCTATTTGCACTTCTCTTCTTTCAAGCTAGAGGAAGCAACAAAACATGTAGCCAGAGGACTAGCAGCAATCACCCTGCAGAGATTCAAAAGCAGCCAACGGCTCCTTCATACAGATAAACTTAGCTTAACTAGTGAAATATGCTGTTCCAGTATATCTGCCCACAAGTAGCTCAGCAGGCTGATGTTCTATTCCAGAACAAAAATTACTGGCTTTTTACTCCACACTCTGATAATTATTCTGGAATTTAATGAGGTTTTATTCCAGAGTAGAGTTGCCCATCAGGGAACCATTGCAGCACAGATAACTGCATCAGAATAAGCTGTGGCAGTGTATGAAAGAGAATTTCCCAGTGCAGAAAGCCCAGTATCTCAGAATCCCTGAGATGTTATCTCTGACCTACTTTGCTCAAAGTACCATAGAGATATCTCCACACAGGCATCCAATTATTTGTTGAAATCAACAAGTACTTTTGTGCTACACAGAATTAGTACAAGCTAAAAAAGAGAGTAGAGCAGGATGATAGGTGGAAAGAAGTGTTCTTTCTGTAGCATTTGCAGCACAGGAATTGATTTCACAAACATGCTCATCCAAGCAATGTAGTTCATTCAGCAGACCATCAACTCCCATCAAAGAGTCATTCTTAACTCAAAATCAGCATGCCCATAACAGCAACAAATGAACGGAAAAGAGCAGAATAGTTCTTTAGAAACAGCCCAGCTGCCTCATGCATCCGACACTGCCACATACAAATGTTGTCATTGAAGGGGAAGAAAATGCCAGCCCTGAAGCTGAACACCACTGTTAGAAATGGTCACCAAAACCTAACTACGTACCACACAAACGGGGTAACTTGAGACACTAAGCACATTCCCAGAGAAGACCACGCCGAAAAAAGACACTTCTGGAGTTCTTATAATATTTTCAAAAGCAACATGACTAACAAAGGATTTTACAAGGCAATAAAACACTCCACTAGGTAATTAAATTCTCCTAAGCCAGCTTTTGCTAGCTGCACTCTTTATTACAAGGACAGCTATCCCAAGGGATTAACAAACTTTGTGTTGAATATGACAAACTTTACTATACTTTTCTGGTCTTCTGAAACCTTGTAAAATATTGCAAAGGTTTAAGAGATAAATTTAGAACAAGCTGATTTAAGAAGAATAAGTTCCTAAATATTCCAGTAAATGGTGTGGTATAATATTACAGGAAGGGTCACTTTTACCTCAAGAGCACAGTAAATCTCACAGTCAGGAAGTCCACTCTGGTGCAAATTGGTGCAAAATTTAGCTCAGTTAGCGCAGTTTTGAAATTTGCTACCATTTAGGGGATGATAATGTCTCTTTCTCTGATTTCTGAAAATTAAAACCTTGATCAACTGACAATACAGGAGGTTTAGTAAATCACAGCACCTCTGTACCACAAGATACTACTTCTTAGAGCAGCTCTGTACCTTTGATAAACTATTGAGTGAAAGAGGAAAGAAGAAAAATTTCTGATTTGTCTGATTAAAAAATAAACAAACTAGAATTTTGTGCTAAATTAAATTCTTAGGTTGGACTGGAAAGAAATTTCATTTAATCTTTCAAAATTACATTCCAGACCCTGAGAAACAGTAAAGAGAAGGCAATATTACTAATGATTTTAATATTTATTAGAAAAACATAATTAAAATAATACTTTTAGGAAAAAATAATTCTCCTTCTGAAATCACTTATGGTATCCTATCTACTTGCAGAAACAAGATAAAAAAGGCCCATTATTACCAAAACCTTAACATTTAAACAGTGCAACTTCCAGGTTCTAACAACAAATTCTGTAGCTGCAACCAACCAAAAATTTCCATCAATTGCTAACCAGGGGGAAAGAATCTGAAACCTGAACTTCTCAGAGCATGATTAGTTAGTTAGTCCACTAAATACCAACCTTCTCCTTGCTGAAAGATACGACCACCAACTGAACATGAAACAACAGGGCAGACAAAAAGTACAGCAAAGGCAGTATATTGACAGAGATCCTGAGGAAAAGTATGCACATAACCTCTTCAGGGGGCCAAAAAGCATGGGCCATATAAGCACAGAACTAAATAATGCCTGGTTTCCTAAGGATTTATTTCTGATTATTACAGTCTTTGAAGTCTAACAATACAAAAATGGTTTTAAAATTTTTTCCCTATAGGTGTGATACTTGAAGTTTCTCTGTCCCTACTGGATTCTGTAATCTTTAATAAGAAAATGGATACATTGCTCAAGCTTGAAATGTTCTTCTGCACCTACTTGCCTATTTTAATGAACCTTGCAGAAATACGGCATCTTTGAAATTATTATATTCAGTCTTAGCTGAAATTAGTTGACAGGCTTCAAATTTATCATTAACACTGTCAGGCTTAAGCAAAGTTATGTACAGAGGAATACACAGAGTGGAACCCATTAGTTTTACTTCAGCAGGCACCAAGGCTGAAAACACTTAAAAGAGTCACGGCAGAAGGGACAACCCACTCTTCCTTCCCCACAGCACCGAAAGGGCAGCTAGTTACCTTGTTCCTTCCTGTTAGGCTAGAAATGCAAGTTCTGATGTTTTTATCCCCAAACAGAAGTGAAGGATATCAATTATTTACTAAAACATGCAAAACAAGAAGTTTTCTTCTCAGTAGCATAAAGTTAACAGGGAGAGCATTATGCTATGACTCGCAGTAAACACACATGCTACAGATGACATTCTTATACCCTGATATATTGTGCTGCTGTTGCTGTTAAGATACGACTCAACCAACGGCGCCTGTTCCTCCGAATGCTTCGTCCTGCGCGTCCTCGTCCGACTGTCCACATTGGACTGGACCATTAGTGGCTCCTGGCGCTTTTTTTTCTGCTTCTGCTCTAGCAGTGCCCGCTGGAGAAAATACAAAGAAAAGCACCTGTTACTGGACTCCAAACGGTAGCAACCTACAATGAAAAACAGTGGATATCTTTACACCTTCTCCGGTTTTACAGTGGCAGCAGTTGGCGAGTGGGGTATTGAGATACTGGGTAACAGGAAATCTTTCCAAAAAACCACGACTAACCCACTGCTAAAACACCTTCTGCTGAAAACAGCAAATAATTAGAATAGATCTTTCTGAGCAGTCCAGCAGCTGTTAGAGCTTGCTTGGAAGTAACCCTTGGGAAAACAACAGTGTGAGAATACTGGCTGTGAAGCAACGGGAGGGTAAGCAAGGGCATAAGGCAGAGATGCCAATTTCAGTTTCTGTAAATTAAAAGCAGGTGACTGCAAACTAGAATCAAGTGATAATACTGGACATGAGCCTAATTTAATAGCTATAAAAGATGAACTTTAATTAAAAACTTAAATTTCTCAGCTGGACCTGCTGAAAAACAAAACCTTCAGCATTCAGTGGCATCGTCGGTAGCTCTCTTTGAGCCCTCTTCCATAATCTTAGATAACTGAACTGTTAATTTTACTCATCCATTACCTTACCATTTGCTTGCTTCTGTACAGTGATAGTTTAGCTTGTAGAAAGGAGATCCACTAAAACTGAAGAATAAGAATGGAGAGTGGACTCTTTCAGCTCCGTAAGTTATGTTGAACAACTCAACATGACTCCAAAGTAATTAGAATCAAGTACAGGATTATGGTATAAATAGAAGGTATTTGAATTTGAAAATGAGATGCTGGTAGACATGCAAGCTGATAAAACAATGGGAAAAGAAATGTATAGAAAAGGATAAAATTAAATGCACACGATTTAACTATAAATATGACAAAGTTTTTTGAGAAGGGGACCACAAGAAAATCAAAGTAAAAGCAGAAACCTCAACTCCCATTAGAACTTGACGGCAGAATTCCCTCAGATTTCATGGAAGAGGTTCTGACTCTCTTTCTTGTAAAAGTCATGTAGTAATACAGTAGCAAAATAGGCAACATAGCGCATAGTGCCACTAGGTTACAGCCACAAGGGCTAGACTCACGGAATGACAAGCCAAGTATGTAAAAACTTTGTGGTTAACCTCTGTTGGCTGGCAAGGCTGCCAGAACCTTCTGTCCTTTCTGGTCCATCAGTTGGGTAACAAATACATGGTAAGTCAGCTTAAAATGAGTCCAAGGCAGTGGAAATGAGAGTCACTCAAACCACAGTCATAAGTCAAGTTTTAATGGCAATTAGACTTCTAAATAAACTGTAACTTCCACAGATCTCTCTGTTGCATTTCCCCACTCAGAGGATGCAACTTCCTATCAGTGACCAGATACATGTGTCAGTAACTTCATTACTCCAAGATCTATACTTCAGAGAGCAAGAAGGTCCTCCTCCAAAATCTTACCTGCCTGTCAAGCTTCTGCTGACGCAGGCTGCTCCCCTCATCTTCCAGAACACTGCAAAGACAAAGGGCACGTAATTGGAACAAATTTATCACTCAAAACAACACTTAGCAGCAGTCACTGGAGCAAACCCTTCCAGGAGTTATCCATAGAGAGCTCCCACTATGTTCCATGGAAGTTTGCCTGCCCTAACCTGCAAAAGTTGGCTCCAGAGGATCTAAATGCAGCCCATGAAAAACTGAAAAACTCTGACTCACACAAACTTCAACAAAACTGTATATTCAGGAAGTTCAAAAAGAAATAAAAAAATCCATGGTCTACAGCTTGGATTCTTCTCCACTGTCTTCTAATGTAAAACACCAATGTATACAGCAAAGGGGTTTGATTGAAAATTTGCATATAAAGCATAGAAAAAGTGAGAAGCATAAGAGAGCTGCTTAGCAACTCAGCAATATTTAAAATTACATTAGGAAAATTAACTGTCTAATCTTTTGCACACTGAAAACTATAATTTATTCCTGAATATACGAAAAGTCACACTTACTGCCACACACTTCAACATTTACAGGCTGGTAAGATAAACAGCATTGCTCACTGCCGTATTTCTTTCTGCTAATTGTTGCTAGTTGGGAGATTAGCTCCTGTGCATTCAATCATTTTCATTAATTAGATGTTAAAGACTGGCATTGAAATCAGAAAGCTATTTTTGTGAAGTATTTTATCAAACTACCGACTACGCTTTATTTTTCAGGAGAACAAAGGTCTCTATTGTAAGAACACTACGGTTAAACATTGAACATAGATAATTAAATCTTTTAAACAGTAATATGTCATCTACAAGGAAAACAGCGCTATAGAACAAAAACAATAGCCTCTTACAAGTAGAGTTCATTTTCTCTTACAATACATTTTTACAAAAGGTTAGTCCCTTCTCTTATAATCACTCTTAACAATCAAAAAGAAAATTAAAATCCAGGACAAACAAACCTGGATTCTGACCTACATGCAACCCAACTGTATTGCAATGAAAATTTCATTAAAAATGTAAATCCCATATATTAACATACACTCTTTAGGAGCCAGTAACATCACAGTAGGGTCGGATAGGACAGTTAATAAAGGCATGCAGAATGCCACCTTTCCAACACCAGCATTATCAGAGACATGTAATTGGGCATTCCTGGTAGCATCAGCCTTTTGCAACTTATACTTGGGTTATTTGTTACAAAAGGCTGATGTTCCACAGAATGAAACTATGCTGTTCAAGTACCTCAGGTATGAAATTACACAGTCTCTTGCAGAGGTAATGCATTACCCACAGTCCACAAAAAAAAAAAAAATTAAAGAAAAACCCCTTCCCACCCACAAACATGTTCTGATTTACGTCAAGCATTCTTAATTTGATAAATTACAGAAACAAGTTATGAAAAGAAGACATACATTCTTCCATAGTATACAGTATCAGGTTTTCACAAGAGTGCTTCACTACAACTGCAATACTTATTAGCTGCCCTGCTAGAAAACAAAACTACCCTAATGGATATCTTTGGCCAAACAACTGCGTAAAAGATGCCCAAGTATAAAGTTTCAGGCTTAATGGCCTGAACAAATCCTTCTCGTTTCAGACAATGCTTGATAAAAAGCCAAAACCATGTAATGATGCTAATAAAGAACAGAAGAACTGCAGAGGCAGCAATGCATATACCATCCTGGCATAACACACGGAATAAGGGAGCAGGGAAATGTTCTTTGTGTGGTTCTAAACCTTACCTGTGACTCCCTGGGAAGCCACAACAAGGCAAATTCAGGTTCAGGTAAACAAGCACAGCTCCTTCAATTCTCTTTATGCCCAAACTTGGCATGGTAAACATGGCAGTTTAAATAACACAACAGCAAACCCCAATCAGGGGAATGGTGTGATTTGCACTGATTCAGCATTCCACGAATGCAAAGCAACTATCAGATACAACAGAGGACTGCCAAAAAAAATAAAACTCCATCCAAACACTATGGATGCCGTGATGCTATAACACCTCTCCACCTGCCCTTCTACTGCAAGACACTGCTTTTCAAGCCTCTGAATATGTGCAATCAAAGCTGAGACTAAGAACAGCGTGCTTTGAAAACCAGATGACAAGCTCGTCTGGAACTTCCAGGTCCTTCATTCTCCCACTTCATATTTTATAAAGCCCTGGGTAGTTTTCACAATCCTGTTGTGAAATATGCATTAATGACAAGCCTTGCATTATTTAAGCTTAACATCCAACAACTAAAATGGAACTCCAGCTTCCTTCAATGACACTGAGGTTCAACAGAATAGCTACTTCAACAATCCTCTCCCCCTCCAGGTTACTGGACTTGTATGAGCATGCCTTGCTCCCCCCAGCCAGCCACACCACTCTTCCAAATCCTTCACAGTGTAATTTTAAAAAGGCCTCATTACCACCAACTCTGTCTCTTTTAGTAGTTACTCAGTGCCAGTATCACTGAAAAGCTGTAATTCTGTCCTTTTCTGATGCCTAAATAATGCTTATGCAACTCCAAATACAAAGAGGATTCAATTTAGTCTATATTCTTCTGCTATAATAACACGGCACTCCAGTTTGAGACTGTGTAATTTGTCAATATTTTCTGCAGAAGTAGTGGACCTTGGAGTTGCTGATTAGCAGCCAACATTTCACTTTCCCTGATTTTCAATAGAAAAGCTCTCCTAAGACTGGGTGACGTCCAATATATGCCACTAAGGGACATCAGGGCTTAAATACATGCATAAATAAATGAGTAAATAAATAATATAAGCTCTGTTTCTGTAGCAATTCCATCAGGTTCTCACTCTTGCTGCCTTGAAAAACATCTGCAGAAGAATCTGAGATGGAAGTGTGCAAGCACCACTGACCCTTTTTCTCACACTTCAGTGAATCCTTGCAGAAAGATTTAGCAGATCATCTTGCCACAGCATCTGGCAGTCCATACATTCTGTCAGATGCTCCAGGGCCTAAGAACTGAAATCCAAAAAACCTACCCTTTTCTTTCATTGGAAAACATCAAAGTGTAGGAGCAGATGCACAGCTTTTGCCCTTCCTGGTCTTTCAAAAAAGCAGAATTCAACTGCTCATCCCCATGGAAGAGCTGTGCACTTCTGGTGAGAATCCAGCCTGTCCTGCCCAGTTTTGGAAGTGGCCATAGTTTTGCTGCTCTGAGGTCCAAATAACTGGGATGGTCAGAGAGTAAAGGCCCAGTACAGAGGAAAAACTGACTAGAAATGGCAGGAAAGACGGCAGGAAATAATCTCATAGAGAGGCTGTTAGAACAACTCTGCCTACATGTTTGATGGGATGCTAGAAAATCCCAGGAGCAGCATGAAACTCTGTCAGTCTTAATAGAGAAATATAACTTTATAATTCATGAAAATTGAATTATTGAAGAGCATGCATACATATTAGCAATCTGCACAGCACGCTGAAGTATCCTGAAGATCCAGTAAGGTTCATTTTTACTCCTATTTGATCAAGTACCGTGCCTGGCACCTTGGCTACGGCTTTGACCCATTTAAAACAGAAAGTCATTTGACACTACATATAATATTGTAAACAGCACTTCAGCTCTGCAGTAATAGTCTAGTCCAAATCCTGCTGACAAATCAGAGCTTGTATATATTTCCTCGCAGACCATTATTCAGGGAAAATCCATCCACCCATCTATACCAAACTTGAACAATCCATCCATTAGAGTTTACTGGATGTTGGGCTTAAGAACGCAAGCCTACAGCTTTGTATGGTAAAGATTCAAATTAGCAGCCTGGACCAAGGCACACAGAGACTTAAGTATTATATTTAGATACTATTATTTTCAAATTTTAAATACAGCACCTCATTCAAATATCCCCACCTCCTGTTTTCTAAAAGGAAATACATTAAATGAACATTCACCTTTGTGTCAAAGTATTACTTTTCATACCACCTTTTTAAGATACAAAATCTATTTTACTGAAACAGTTTCAACATTAAATTCAATCTACACAAAAATAGCCCGGCCTATTATACTGCTGCATGTCATAACGAAGATAAAAATATACATAAAAATTTTAGTATTCTCAGCTTTTCATAATCTCTATTCCTTAGAAATCATTTAGAGAGAAACCCAAGACCTATCAGGTTTTAAGGATGAAACTTCATGATTACATGAAGCTCCACAATTTACTGCTGAGATGAAGGCAGAAGATTCTGCAAGTCAACATCTTGCTATATTTTACTGTAATTCCACATGGACTGATTTCAATTTAAGTAAAATCTGAAAAGCCTTAATTCAAATAACACATTTCACAGCAAGTACTTTGCCTTCACTCTTTGAACATGCAAATGCTTTCATTTCAGTAAGCCTTTGCAAGAAAAAAGAATTAAGAAGAAATTTTTTAATTAGAATGTCCAAGATGCATGTAGTCCCTGATTTGATTTTATTTTGGTTTTTTTAAAGAAAAAGTCTGACACAGTAAAGTAGCTCTATTGTTTCTGCCTGACAAAGAAGGCAATGCTTTTGTTCCTTCCTGACACTGCTTCATAAAGGAACATTTTCCATGATAATAACATTTTTACCAGGACAAAGGTCCAAAATCTTACCTAGCACATCTCTGCAGCCCAGCACTAATTAAACAAAGAAGCATAACTGGTCACACAAGCAGACATATCCTACCACTACTTTCATACACTGTTTAAGAAGTGTCACATTTTCTCTTTTTGCTACTTCATGACCATACATGACTAATGGCAGAACCCAAAAGCTCTATGTAAAATCAGGGACCTTTGCACAAGCAAAGTGAATGCACACAGTTAAGGAAAATTCCTTAGACAAACAGTTCCATTATGAAAAGATGAGGAATTGGATAAGAAAATGTTCCTCCCATTTAAAACACTGAACCAGAAGCAATGGAAAATTAAAGGAGATATTTTCATCTTGAGTTTCTTCTGCCATATTGTCAATTGCCATTCAAAACCAAAGGATGATCAAACCAGACAGAAAGAAAAATACACCAGATCAATCTTCAAGATCACTCAGAT